GCAGTGATGAGCTGTGATTGTTACTTAGAGAGGTATCTGTGGCACATCGTATAAGTTTAAAAAGTTTACAAGAGTAGATGTAATAGGATTCAATTTAATTTTGAGGATGAGAAAGATCCATAAGCCTAGAGGGGAAAAAGCCCTCTAATAGAGGTAATTTCTAGGTGGTGAGATGATGAGTAACTTTTTTTCCTCTCTCATATCTTTTTGTTATCTGAAAAAAAGTTTTCACACGCAAGATGTACTTCGGTTATAATCAGGAAAGCCAATAAAATCATTTGTATTTGGGGGAAAGAAAAGCTTGTTTATTGCAAAGTCTTGGCAAAAATCAATGAGGCCTGAACTAAAAATGATGGAGAGAGGAGAGAGAGTTGATGGATTTTGAGAACCTGACATTCCTGGGATTTGGTGACTGGCTGTGAGGGCGGAGGAAGGAGCCCAGGCTGACTGTGGGGTTTCTGCCCTTAGCTGCAGGGTGGTGTGGGTATAAGGCAGTATTCTTAGAGGTGTTTGGGACTCAGTGATAGAAAAATACAGAAACTTGTAGAATTGTGCAATTGAAAGGTCAATTTGACTTGATAAAAATTTGGAATTCTATTTTAAAAGAAGACACATTACTGCTTAATATAGTGTGTATTTCATTTATTAAGTAATTGGGAAGCTCCTGAAGGCGGAAACTCTGTAATCACCCAATTCCTAGCACATAACCTGGTTTGTAGAATGAGCACTCTAAAATGATTCTCGCTGAGTGAGGTTGTCAAGCTCATCTAATAGAATTTGTTAACACACACACACACACACACACACACATATTTACGTGTGTGTATATATATATATTTTTAAATATATCAAAGGACACATAATTGAGTATATTATGGGGGTACAGTGAGACATAGATATGTGTGTATATATACACACACATATATGTCTATAAATATATATATGTATACACACATATAGATATATATATATACACATAGACTGATAGTGTATATGTGTGTGTGTGTGTGTGTGTGTATAATGATCAGATCAGAGTAATTGGTATGTCCATCATCTCATATTTACCAAGTCTTTGTGTTGGAAACACTCAAATCCTCTCTGCTAGTCATTTTTGAAATACACAATTTATTATTGCCAGTCTTATTTGCCCTCCTGAAATTTAATAAGAATTTTGTCTTAAATCATTTTAAGGTCCCCACAAATGTTTAGCAAATTGGTTCTAGTTTGTAAAAGGTGGACCATAGTCCTGCATACATATGGCAGAGGTTGCTCACAAAATTGTAATGCTTTGTATTACAACATGTGTAAACATATATGTATATACACATACATACACATAATAATTTTACATATAGACATAACTACATATATATAGATATGTTCATATGCATTTTTTTCTGTCTTATGTGTATTTTGTTCTATCTTATGAAATTATTTTCCATTAGAGCATGGTTTACTACTACAGTTCACAGCGTCCAAAAAATAAAATATTTTGACTACAAGGCTTTATATTAAAGTGGTGTCAGGATGTTGGAACCAGCCACTCTGGTTCTCAATCCCAGCACCATCACCCCTGTTAGCACATAGTCTTGGGTACTTTAAGTACCTCTCTGTTTTCTCACCTGAACAAACATGTTATGGGATTTTTTTGATAAAATGAAAGACTCACTATAACATTCTTAGCACAGAACTCAGATGTAGTGAGAACTCAAATATCAGCTTTGTTTTTCAGTCCCTTTTGTTTATCTTCTGGGATGGACTGATTACAGAAAGTACAGGATTTCCTGCATCTCATTTATGATGGGATTTCTTTGATTTATCTTGAAATGTAAATACATACTCTCTGAAACTTTCCCAACACAACTAAAGTCTGTGTTCATCTTAAGGAAGAGCAAAAGAGAAAGCTTGGGCTGAGGTTGGGTCTCCAGGGAAAGGTCATTCTAGGTAGCATCAGCCTGGATTTGTGTCTTTTAATGAATTGTAAGCAATATGAAGAACGACTAGTATTGAGGCTGGGGTGCACTCTTCAGATGATACCAAGCCAGGTCCCAGCTGGTCAGCTCCCTACAAACAAAAGCAAGCCACACCTGGCCTGTGGAGAGTCCAAGCTAAGCAAACACTTATGCTGATAAGGCTTAGTGTCTCGTGATAAGTTGAGTGTTACCTGGAAAGAGAGAGAGGGCCTGGCTGATTACATGTGTAGTGCCCTTATAAACCTCTGTGATCCTGAACCACACATGTGTGCAGGTTGCTGCTCCTCATGTTGATGTCTCACAGTGGAAGGTGAGGGTTGAGATGGAAAATAGTTGGATGAAGTTGTAGACAGCTCATGTGTGTCATTTGTTCTTCCTGTAGGGTCCATATCAGTTTAGTACCAAATGATGTCAGTCATAAGAAGGCAAAAGCCTGCCATTCCTTACACATCTTTGGAATACATTACTTAGTACTTTCCTTCCCTGACACTATTCATGCTATAATCTAGGGGAAGCTTTGACACAAAATTATACATACATATACACACACGTATATATATTTTATGTATATTATATATGCATTTTTTCTTCTGGTGGTTTAATGTTCATTTCATTTTTGACTACACCTTCTATAGTATAACATGAAATAAGACCCACTAAGTATTTTGCACACTTGATTCTTTCTTTCCGAAGTTACCTACATAGGGAACGAATAACTGAAGTATCTCAAGAATAGCATTTACTTAGCATATATTTTTTTTCTGGAAATAAAGAGCACAATTCCAAAGCTGAGAGTGTCAGATTCTAATTCAAAACTTCTAGAGTAACAAAAGCTCTAGGAAGGAACTTGACAAGCTGCCTTAATGATGTTTAGGGTGAATACCTCCCCCATGCTTTTTCAAATCCTCTTCCCTCCCAGAGCTCCTCAAAAAGAAAAAGGGGGATAAAAAAGAAGCCTTTGCCTCTTGTTGGCAGTAGAATTTATTCCATAATTTACTTTTTCAGCCAACTGCAGTCGTTGCCCTTGCCTCTGGGCACTTGTTCAAAAACACAGAATTGAAATAACAGATTGGCCAGACCGAGCACAACTCCCCAGTCACAACCCTATTATCTCCTCGTTCTGTCACCCCCATTAGGCAAAGGCCTGGGAGACCGGATGGTGACAATGCGTATTTATGTAGCTCGCACATCTCTGCAGCTCTAGGCTTTCTGCCAGTGTCCCTCTTCCCCCTTGTGCCTCCCCGTGCAGGACCACTGAGAATGGGTCTGGGGAAGCTGATCCCTAGGTCTGCACTGCAGCCACCTCTGCGTTTCTTCAAGGGCTCTGAGCCACCTTCCTATCTGGGAAAGGGTCTTCATCCTGAGAAAACCAGAGCCAGACCAAGGGACCCACCTCTCCTGCTTGTGAACTTCCCACCTGTGAATGGACATGGTGGGAGCTGCAGTGTGTGGATTTTACTGAATCTCTGGTCTATCTCAATTACCAGGAGGAATTTGGGTTTGTGATATTCATAACCATTCTCTTCAGGTCAGATCAAACAGCAAATTGCTTCACTTAATATCAGCTGTGTATGGTCTCTGCTGGGCCATCTCTGGAAAGAAGCAGAGATGTCTCTGAATAGGACAAAGGTGAAAGAGAGGAGGAGAGTCTCTGTTTAATCATGGCAGGATTATTTTCTGATTATTGCCTCCTGGTGAAATTCCTTGTGATATTATAGGCATGAGGTGCAAACATTGACTATGGTATCATTCCCCACTTGGGGAAATGTTAAAACAGGGAAGCTGTATAGGGCTGAGGAGGTAGCTCCCTGTTAGATTGTTGGCCTACCATGTGGGAGGCCCTGGGTTCCATCCCCAGTACTGCAAAAACTAAATAACAATAAATAAATTGTAGAGTCCATATAAGAGAGATCCACAGGAAAACACTTTTTCTCTCTCTTGGAGCAGTCTACCTTGTGGACACTGTTCATGTGTGATGGTTGACTTTTTGAACTGGTTTATACTCTACCTTGTATTCCGTGTACAGTCCATGCACTTGTTCAATGTAGCCCCTTAATTATAGTCATTCATGATTTAATGAGGTATCTTCTGAAAAATGTACCCTTGTTAGGTTATTGTGTCATTATGGTTAATGGGTATTAATGCAAAAATCACAGGGTACACTCTGTAAAAATTGAGATAGTGGTGATGTCACTATGCCTTATAAATCTTATGGAACTGCCATCATATATGAGGTGTATTATTGACCCAAACGTCATTATAGGGCACATAACTGTACTTTGATTAGTAATTCTAAGAGGAGGTGAAAATTTTGGGTTATACTTCTTGATTTTTGCCCCCAACCTCTTTTATGCAACTGGATAGTAAACACATCTGGAGTCAGATCAGATTTTATGAGAGTCCTACCCTGTTCAGAACCACCTATTCCCTGAGCATGGTAGTGCAAGCCTATAATCCCAGGAATTTGGGAGGCTGAAGCACGAGGATCGCGCAAATTCCAAACCAGCCTCGGCAACTTAGTGAGACCCTGTCTCAAAATAAAAAGTAAAAAGGACTGAGCATACAGCTCAGTGATAATGTGCCCCAGTGTTTTAATACCAAGTGTGCCTCCCACCCCCAGGAAAACAAAAAACAGAACCACCAATTCAGCCCTTGTCCCCTACAGATCTCTGGCCATTAAGAGGTGAAACCAGAAGGAGGGCCTCTCTGCCAGGAGACTAGCATTGTACTGAGAAAACGAGGAGAGCACACAGCTTAATGATTTTTAGACAGATGGATTTTCCCCTGAGAAGAGCAGGATTTGGTTTAAATTAGTCCACCCTGGAGAGAATTATTGCCATGTGTGGGTTCTGCCCAGGATATGTGGGAGAGGACAATTCCTCGCCCCTCCTAGGTGAGAAAGAACAGGGTGAAATGGAAGCCTCTGCTAAATGGGGAGAGGGCTTGTTTTAAAGCTATAATTGTTGCTGCTGCTGCTGCTGCTGCTGATCAAACCCTAACCGCCCTGTCCTTTGCTTTCTACATCAGCTCACACCCCAGACAACAGTTTTCTGGGGTTTGTGGTCGAGCAGCACCTGAACTCCAGCGACATCCACCACATTAATGAAATCAAAAGGCAGAACCAGTCCCTTGTGTATGGCAAAGTGGATAGCTTCTGGAAGGTGAGTCAGCCTGTGTACGTGTCGCTCTCTCTGAACACCAGCTTGTTGGGTAATTTAATTTAACTTTGATCCAGAGAGTAATCAAGCCAAGTGCCCAGGGCTTAATGGGATCTGCTTAGACGTAAACAAGAATGTTCAGGGGTTGGTTGCTGCAGTATTTGGGCATCTAACCAAGGATTTAGTTGGTCATCCATCCTTATAGCAGCTGTACAGCAGACCCTTTAACTCTGCATGTCCAAAGTGACACCTTGGAGCTTCTTTCACAGTCAGCCAGTACCCGAGGTTTCCACATCCACACGCTCAACCAACTGCAGATTGAATGTATTCTGGAAAAAAAAAAAATTGTGTCTGTACTGAAAATATACAGACATTTTTTTTCTTGTCATTCTCTTAACAATACAGAACAACAAGTATTTACATAGCATTTACATCATATTAAGTATTTTAAGTAATGTGGAGATGATTTATAGTGTATCGGAGGAAATATGTAGATTCTATGCAAATACTGTGCTATTTTATATAAGGTACTTAAGCATCCTCAGATTTTGTTATTCTTGAATGTCCTATAACCAATCTCTTGTGGATATAGAGGGAAAATGGTACTTGTTTCCTAGAGCAAGGGCTCCAGGGGTGCAGATGTCTTTCTGAAGCTGGGCACTTCACAGAGACCCTTTGCCAACTGAGTTTTTGCCTCTGCCCAGTGAAGGTAGGCAGCTCCCTTTCCTGGGGAATGAGGCAGCGTCATGATCTTTGATTATGGTCAGTTCACACTTACCCTGGAAAGGTGGTTGGTAGCCAGCTTGCTCAGGGAGGCTGAATGAAACAGAGCTGAACCAGATGTTCCAAGAGCACCCAACTATTGGGCCCCAAAGGGTCTCCCTGCCCTCCCGAGATGATTTCCACAGTATACCTGAGGCAGGTACAATAATAGACAAACCAGACAGGGCGTGACTTGTTGACAGGCAATGCAAATTCTTTTATATGGCAAATTAGCCTCAGAAGACGAATGTCATAATTTTGAGGATTGTTTGTAAAGGGCAGAAATCTCCAGAACTTCAAAACATGATTGTTCTTAAATAAAATCCTTTACTGAAGGATCCATAAATTGTGGTTTCATGTTATCCTGTCTCGGCTATCGAGGAAGTTAGAAATCTTGCAACTGAGGGAACACAGCTGTGCAGGGTGATGAGTCCCTTTTTTTCTGACTCATGTTCAGAAAAGGAAAGGCAGTGTCCCACCCCTCAGCTCTGTAGTGCTAAGTATTGCAAAGGGACAATGAATTTGGCCCATTTCAAGGGACATTGATTTAATTCCAGATAAGGGAATTTGTTATAAACAGCAAGATTCTTGGTTTAGTATAGTAGTTCCCAAATGGGGACAGTTTTACTCCGCCTCCCACCCCACCCCACCCCACATCCGCCAGGGGGATATTTGGCAATGTCTGGAGATCATTTCAATTGTCACATTTAGGATGCATACTATAGCATCTAGTAGGTGGAGGCCAGGGATGCTGTAAACATCCTGCAATATACAGAGAAATACCTAGCGTCAAATATCAGCAATGATATTTATTAGTAAATAAGAATTTACTAATATTTACTGATATTATCAGTAAATAAGAATTATTTCCTATGTCTATTACAGGTTGAACATTCCTAATCCAAAAATTTGAAATCCAACATGATTTTTGAGCTCTGACATGATGCTACAAGGTGTGTAAGATCCCACACCAGACCTCATGTGATGGGTCATAGTCAAAACTCATGTGCACTAAAAACATTGTATAAAATTACCTTCAGGTTGTATGTATAAGGCACATATGAAACAAAAATGGAATTTTGTGTTTAGATGTGTGTCCCATCTTTAAGATACTTCATCATATATATGCAGATATTCTAAAATCTGGAAAAAAAATTCAAACACTCAGTTTCAAGTATTTCAGATTAAGGATACTCAACCCATATTCCCCACACTTTCTCTTCTCAAGTAAAATAAAATCAATCTAGATTTAGCTGGCTGAGATGCCGCCATTAATTTATACATCTTTGCTTCCCCTGTATCAAAACGTGCTCCATGTTGATGGTGCATTTTGGGGTGATTTTCAGCTGAACTCTGGTTAAGAAGGGCATGTTGGGTGTTCTCATTCGCAGTGTGGTTGTAGCATGGGTGGATCATGGCACTGACTTTAGGAACAGCCAGCCTTTTAAAGGGTGCAACTCTCTTCTCTGCAGCTGCTCAGAGAAAATAGCTTGTATGTCTGAGCGGGCTTGACCTTGAAATTATATCACTTCTGTTTTGGAACCAAATGCAGCCCCCTTCTGGGTGCCTCTGGCAGCGTTGTCTGTTTCCCTAGAAAAGCAAGACAATAGTTTGGGTTGTGAAACCTTTTGGGTTGCCTGTTTGGGTTAAATTAATGCTACCACTAAAACCATGATGTCTTTGATGCCAGTCAGAATCCCAGAAGTGTTAACTATGTTGCTTAAATGATCAGCGACATGATTCAGAAATTCCTCTGTATTTTGACCTGTTAAAACTATGCAGGTGATCTGATCTTCCACATACCAGTGCCACCTAAGGATTACAAATGGCTTAGCGACAGTGTGTCTACATTCATCTTTTCCTGAGTACTCAAAATCAAGGATGATGTTTCAATTTTATGACATCATTCCAGCATTCTGTGCCAAGAAAAGCCCCCCCAAAAGATGAAAATACTTTAAAATTTTCACATGTATTCAAGACATCCTCTTCAACTTTTGAACACAGAATAAACATGGGAGACTTTAGGTTTGTTCTCAAAATATCCCCATTCCAGAGTATTTCATGAATATATACAGAAAACAGATGTGCCTTTTAAGAGGGTTGTTATTCCAACCACATTGCCAAAGCTGCGTTCAACCCCAGCTTTAGTGAGTGGGAGGCTTTGTAAATGTTTTTTTTCTCCATCCTGCAACCCTTTGCCTTAGAGATCTTCTGGAGAGGAAGTAAATTCTGTCGGTCCTGGGAGGTTTAGGGTTTGAGGTGGGAGAAGGCATAGTGTGGACCAGATGATTTTTGAAAGACTCACCTTCACCCTCAGGTTCTAGAACTCTGAATTCTGAAGGTGCCTGCCTCACTCTTACACCACCTTCCCTTTTGAGGACATCTCCGCATCCACCCAGGGACTTGAGAGGGCATTGCCACCACGGGACTCCCTTCTAACCAAATCTGATTGCACCTACAAGTTATCCTGTAACCCAGGAAGTCCAGCTCACTGGTGTTTGGAATCATGATCCTGCCTCAGCAAACTGAGTCAAGTCAATGAGATTCTTGGGTTGGTGTTAGAATCAGAAGAACAGTGACAGTAGGCCATGGGGATAGAAATCCAAATGACAGAAATCCAGTTACCTGGCTGAAGTTGTGAGGCCAAGACAAAGTTTCCAGGAGTCCAGATGAGAAAGAAAGGACCCAGGCTGAAAGGAGAGGATGCTGTCAACAGGGTGATGAAGCCCATCCTAGGGAGGAACGTTACCACCATGGGAGAATGGTGGGCCTTGGGGAGATAGGCCGACAGATATAACCCCTGAAACCTGGGGATAAGAGGAAATCGCTTCCAGAGTTCCTGGCAACTTACTTTTTCCACATCACGTATGCCTTTCTAACGCTTCATTCCCTTTCAGTATTCAAGCACTTTCTGTTCTTTTTAGTCATATCAAAGATATCTACTAAACTATGCAGCTCTTCCTGTATTCCAAACGCCTGTGCAGAAGCATGGTGTATTAATACAGAAGGCTAAGGAGCAGCCTCTCTCTACAGACACACACTCCAGTCTCTGTTATGGCTGAGGTTTCCAGTGGTCTTGTCCTGATGTTATATACACGATGGAAAAGTGGGTAGGAAGGAGAGAAGAGGGGAACTTGCTACTGGACTATAGAAACCTTAGAGGCACTAGCATAGGAAACATCTCTTCCCAAGACCCTGAGCATCAGATGAGAGTAATTAAACCTAATCCCAAGTGCAAATCTCTCTTCTTAACTGGTAAAGGCACAGCTCTGGACTCTGGGCCTCTTCCTGGGATTGTCTGAGCACTAACTCTGGCAATCCTAGAAATGTGCCTAGAAGAAGCATTATCTTTCCAGCTGACCATATTCAAAGACTTCCAACATCCTGATACCTGAAGTCATCAGGGAATGGGAAAAATCAGTCAATTTTTTTGAAAATATATAATTTGAAGGTACAGAAATTAAAATTAATTGGAGTCTTGCTTCACTATATTAATTTAATTTCTAGTTTTTTTTTAAAAAAATAATATCCTGAGCATAACTGAGTCTTTGGACCGTGAGGCAGGGTCAGTGTTTTACATGTTCATGGTCCCACCATGATGTTCTGAAGACTTACTAATGTGTGACTGCTGCTGAAGCACACATGCTGGAGGCCTTGATTTGACCACACGGGGAGAACAAGCTCAGCCCCCAAGTCACAAGCTGGTGTTTAGACTCAACTTATCGTTTGATAAGTTGATCTGTGATGTGGGTCAGTAACAACTACCATGCAGTGGAGCGCTTCCCGTCTTAATAGTATATACAGATCACCTGGAGTCTTGAGGAAATGCAGGTTCTGGTTTGAACCTTCAGGGTGAGAAGAAGACCCTGCCTTCTCAGGAGCACACAGGTGACAGAGATGTGCTGTTGGCAAAGCCCACTTCTAGGAGAAAGGTCTGGAGTGCTTGGGATTCTGTAGAGCGCTGGGCCTCACATAGCTAGTTGACCAGTCAATGAACAGATACTTCCTCTTTCTATCTTCTTTTCTGCTATGCTTTTCAGCCTATCATCTCTCCTGTCACTTTTTACTGCTCTTAGTGCAGTGGACTGATTCCAGTCATCCTAATCTCACTTCTCATAAGCATATTTACAAACCTTGCTACTTCTGGTCCCTGCTGCCTGGCCTTTAGAATGGGATGAGCCTGTGGTAGGTGGTGGACTCTCAGAGGTGAGAGAGGCACACTGTGTCCACTGTGCTCTGCT